CCACGTTTGCATTTTTTTAAAAAATGGCAAATTAGCAATAAGTCCTGACCCCACTATTTTACACAAATTACACGCTGAATACAGTACTTCGTATACATGTTCTCTTAGGTTTCATGCATCAGAAAGGCACAGTTGCCTTTCAGCATATGATTGGAAAAAATGCCCTGTGTTTCTAAAGTCCAGAATTTAGACTACAACTGTCTCCAAACCATTCATTCTTGCATCCTGCACACAACGAATCCATCAGTGGAAATCAATAAAACTTTTGAACCCCAGAATAAAAAAAATGCACATAATGCTCACTGATCTTTCTTCAGTGTGCTGAGCTTAGTTAATATATAAATCAGCTTTTTCCTCTGCTTTAATTTGGAAGCCCCTCCCTCAGTTACAAAGGGACCCTTGCATTCCTCAGTGTTTGTTTTATTGTCATGACTGCCAAGAAAGCATATTCTGAAATAAGTGAGCCATAAATGGAATACTTTTTTCCAGTTAAATGCAGCAAGTGTGGGAAACGTATCAAGGCCGTTCAGTTGGCTGCCACTCCCATCAGCCCAAGCTACCATAGCCAATGGTGAGGCATGATGGGAGTTACAGTCCAATATGTTGTGCCTTCTCTTAGGTTAGGCGGGGTCACACTTACGATTACTTTAACAAGCAATCAATGTCATAGACTTTAAAGGAGTGACTCTTGATTTAGTCTGCAGTTATAAACATTCTAATGATCATCACACACAGACTTTGCATTTAGTTCCTTCATCATGTGTCTTCAGGTTGCTTTCAAAATTATGGCGAACCTAACATGGTTTGTCAGGTATGTGGATGTTCAAGGAGTGGGTTACCTTTTTCATCCCCATGCCAATGCACGTCGATGGCCATGCAGGGATTTGAAGTCTGACACTTTCCCCATTACGCCACATTGGCCATTGGTTTCCGGTAAAACAGATTGTTTAAAGAACAGAAAATCTGGATATTTTACACTGAGCATTAAATAGCGTAGTTATAATGGCAGATATTTGATGAGTTATTCCAGACAAAGATGGAGTAACGTTGAACAGGGAAGGAGTGTTTGGTTCCCTGGGGAGGAAAAGTAGGGTATGAGTCTTTCACATTAATATTTAGAGAATAGCACTCCAGGTTTTATACCACTGAAGAGTAAGCAGATCTGCAGTGTTAAATTATCTCAAGGTCAGGCTGATGTTGACTTCATGAGAATGAGCTCCGATACAGCCAATCTGTTGTCAGGCTAATTAAGGTAGATATAGACTCTGGAGGAACATACACTTTGGGCCAGATGTAATGGAGGTCACTCACAAAAAACATCTCTTCTGGTTTTCACACATGTACCAACAGGAACTGGTGACTGGAGGTCAGCTTCAGTCTAACCCTTTAACCCTCCCACGTGGTCTTCATTGTAATCTCAAGCATTTATTATTATTTTTCACTCCCTGATATAAAGTCCTGTGATAGAAAATAATGGTTCACTTCTGCAGGAATATCATTTATGTTTATAAACATTCTTTTATTAGAGATTTGTAATTCATACTACACTGCAAGGATATTTTTTAAAAAAATGCAACTACAAAACACAAAGATAAAAAAAATAAAATTGTAGAGGAAATAGTAGAACTAAATTTTAACACTGTGATGATAGAGCATTTACAAACAAAATAATAATTCAATAATTCTGTGTTATGATAACTCAGCATGCTTCTCTGATTATCTCTGTGTGTATATGTGTGTGTGTGTATGTGTGTGTATAAATATACACACACACACATATATACACATACATATATATACATATACTGTATATACATACATATACATATACATATACATATACATATACACACACACACACACACAGACACATACACACATACATACATACATACATACATACATACATACATACATACATACATACATACATACATACATACATACATACATCTTTGGCTGAGAATCACTGAACTAGCAAATCATGTTTCTTTTTCCTTTTGGGGCTCACTAGATCTGATTGGCTCCTTGCTCTTCAGTGTTGCTTTCCTTGCTTCTCTTCTGCCCCCTCCCAACTACATTTTAGATGACAGGCCACTGATCTCCTGATAGCCCCCCCTCCACAGAAGCTCCCCCAGTAACTCATATCAGACTAGCTGGTTCACTAGTTAACAACCAGGCAGGGGTGCAGAGTACCTGCATAGAATGAGCAACTGCTGCAAAGATGCAGTGAACAATGGTGAGAGGCAGACAGCCATACATGGGCTGGATAAGTTATTTTTCAAACCCCTCCCCAGCCAGTGTGACTAATAGCATGCTGTCTGGGGTCCTAATTGGAACTGTGAGTCAAAAAAATAATTCTTCCAAGCTCTATGGAACTGTGAGTCAAAAAAATAATTCTTCCAAACTCTATGACAACCACTGCACAGGAACTCTCATGCTGTTAAGTAACAATTGGATTGGGTCTCATTGCTCCCAAGAATCTAACTAAGGGCTTTTCCATTCTAGGGTAAAACCCTCTAAAGGTGTCCATCTTTGTGGTTTTATGCAGTGTAGTTTCCAGAATTATTTCCTGGGGAGCTCTGGGACTTGTAATACAAAGACTCAAATATAAAAGCCACTATTACAGTATTTACTTTGGCGATGCAGCCTGAGCTGTTCCCAGCAGCTAGAGAACATAAAATGGGGAGGAGAGAGTTAACTACATGTATTCCTTTGTGCTCAGGCAGAAATGAGGCAATGGGAGAAATCTCCTGCTGATAAATTAATTAATTAATAATAATAATAATAATAATAATAATAATAATAATAATAATAATAATAATAATAATAATAATAATAATAATAATAATAATAATAATACGACTTGCCAGCAACTCCATACACCTTAGATGACTTTTGTTGATCTGTCGGTGGTTACTATTGCCACATTTCAGAAGTCTGCATCATCCTATTTAATGGAAGACAGGCTCCCTCTTCTGGCCAGAACATCAATTCTCACGAGCAGCGTTATTATTTTACACAAAAATTACAGAGCAAAATCCTGTCTGTGATTAGCAGTGAAAATCCTTTGGAGTTCTAAAGTCGTGATTCATGCAATCATAACTGCAAATGAAACCTCCCCTCCTGATAATGCTACACTGAAACAAAGCAAGCTATTTTGCAAACAAGGGGAGATGTGAAAAGCTCCTGCTCTATTATCAGCAGTTCAGCACCTAAGGATCTTCCTGTTCTAATAATGGGTTGCCTAATACTGTAAGAAGGGACGTGGTGGTGCTGTGGGCTAAACCGCAGAAGCCTGTGCTGCAGGGTCAGAAGACCAAGCAGTCGTAAGATCGAATCCACGTGACAGAGTGAGCGCCCGTCACTTGTCCCAGCTCCCGCCAACCTAGCCGTTCAAAAGCATGCAAATGCAAGTAGATCAATAGGGACCACCTCGGTGGGAAGGTAACAGCGTTCCGTGTCTAAGTTGCACTGGCCATGTGACCACGGAAGATTGTCTTCGGACAAAATGCTGGCTCTATGGCTTGGAAACAGGGATGAGCACCGCCCCCTAGAGTCGAACACGACTGGACAAACATTGTCAAGGGGAACCTTAACCTTTACCTTTAATACTGTATACAGTTTGGTTCAAATGCAGCACAATCAGCTGAGGTTATTAACTATAGTTAGTCTTATAGTCAGGTGATCGGATCATGATTCCAGCAGTTCTGTCTGGAGGTTGGGTGGAACTGCTTTTATTCCTACAAACACTCTTGCCCATTTTAACAGTTGTGTGATGGCAGAAATTCTGCATGGAGTTGTGTGGAGTGATTTTCATCTCAGATCAGTTGTAACAAGTAGGGATAATATACCAAACAATCCACAAGGATGTAAGCTTGTCTACCATGGCTGGTTGGCTGAGAAATGAACATTGATATCACCATTATCTCCAGTTAATTAAAAGTCTGTTAGGCAGCTTCCATATATGATTCTGTTCTAAAAGCTCCCATAGCCATCAGGACCTTTTAAAGCCTATAAAGGCAGGGGTTCTCAGCTGGTGGTGAAGGCTTCTGGGAGTTGCAGTCCAAGAACACCTGAGTGATCCAACGTTGGGAACAGCTGATATAAGGGGAATGCTGGCTCTGCCATCAGGCCCAGTTGGCTGCCTTAGGCGGAAGATTCTAGGGACAACCAGTGTTATAGACTTAATTTATTGTAAGTGAATGACTGCATTTTCACCAGGGATGCCTCTTGGTCCAAACATTATCTATGGGGGGTGGTCCATTTTTCCCATTTTGGAGTGAGGTGCCAGCTCTGTCATATACATTTTTTTACTGCCAGAAGGGGGAGGTGTGGTTGGAAGATGCAGGTGCCAAAGTAATCTGACTGATTTAGGACACGTTAATCTTCAAATGTTGGAAGAGAAGTGCTTTTTTTGTAGCTCTTTGTCCACGGGCAAATGTCTTGGGCCAGCCCCAGTGGAAAAGCCAGAGAGATTTAGATGTTCTGCTTCACACCTGTGGAAAGCTGCCTGTGCCAGATTCATGAACAAGCTGACAATGGCACTGATTTTGCAGGAGTTCTCAAACTTTGGGGAATCAAACCGCCTTTCTGATTTTTGAGAAATCTCCACATGTCTCAGCTCACTGTTACTGTAACCTAGTCCCCCTTTAAACAAACCCACTGCAAAACATCTCAGTTCATAATTTAACATTTAAAACAAATACAAAAACAAAACAAAAAATACCTTAAGTTCAGCACAAATAGTTAATACAACATGAGTTAGCTTAGAGAACATAACAAACTGAATGTGAAATATGATGAAAATCTCACAGTCTCATTCATCCCACCCCACCTCCAAAATTTCTTCATGAGTGGCTTAGGACCTCAGATGATGAGAGGCCTCTGAATTCAAAAACACTTATAACTAAAAAAGCACAAAGAGTCCAATAAAAATGACACTTTTTAATAATCCTTTAAATCATTTTAATCAGACATAATTTAAGACCTCGGCATGCCTTATTCTGGTTCTGAATATTTTCCATATAAATCCATAGGTTACTTATTTTCTGTCCTTGAGATTGGTACTAATCAGAGCAGCTTTGGAGCATCTCACGCAGATTTTGTCTGCAATTTTGATCCTGAACATTTGACCCTGGTGTTGCTTTATTCTTGCAGCTGTGAAAAAAAAATAAGCAAATCGAATTTCACAAAGTTTTCAAGCTACAAGGGGCCGATTTGGCTGTAATGCTTGCCCTACAGTTGGACAATACCTTATGTTAAGGAGTGTTCTCTTTCTTTGGTGGGTGTGAGAAATTGTTTCCTAAAAGTACTGTAATTACTTAAAGGTCAACGTCTTTCCTGTTGAAGAAGGAGACCTGACAGTAAGGCATTATCTATAATTAGAAACACTTACATCAGAGTCTTCCACTTGTCAGGACATCTTAATGAGATCACAAATGACCCTGGATCATTTCTGGTTATGACCTCTTTTCCCTTTAGATGAGTTTTACCCAAATAATATTTGCTTCTACGAGTGTCTTAGCATTACATCACAGGTGGAATTTTTTTTACTGATCTCCACTTACAAAGGTGTGAGCTAGCTAGGTTAATGCAAAAACCTGTCATGTTGCATTGGTAGGGTTATCTTCCAGATGCCACCCATGGACTGTGCAAGATTTAAGACCTTTGTGAGTCTGAATGGTTGTGCTACCCACTAACTATAATACAAAATGGCTCAGATTTTTGTTCTGTTTATCAGAATGGGATGTAGCCACCTAGGAGGCAGTTGTGCTTGCCAAATTCCAGGCAAATAAGTATGTGGGAGGATTGTGATGTATACCTTTATTTTATTTTAAGTGGACTTTTTTTTAGCAGAAAGAATTGGGGGGGAGGGTAACCAATCGGGGGGGGGAAATCTGCACTCCTAACTGTATCCCCAGCAGACACCCCCTCTCATAAAGTACAAGTGTTGGAACCATCAATGAGCTGTTGTTGACTACCTCTCTCTTAACTAATAGAATGAATGGAGTTCATTTCAGTGCCCGTAGTTACAATCAGTTTGGAACTGATACTAAAGAACAAGTGGTGAAAATTAAAGAAAAAACAGAGCTGGCTGCTTGGGTCTAGTCCTCTCTTCTGGACTTGTTTGTAGCACATCTGTAGAATAATGAGGTAAGAAAGATACAGTTAAGTGCTTTCACAAGTTTAATTGGGACACCTTTGGAAAACAGCCTATTCAAGGTACTGTACTAATCAGACAAAGCTTTGAATAACAAAAACTCCACTGCAGCCAAGAACACACTGTATTCTGTCTCTTTCTATGGATGCTAATCACAGATATTGTACATGTCTCAGCATATGTTAGTTGGCCAGCTGTCTCACTCTTATATAAAATCAAAGGGTGCAAGGTCTAATTTCATTATTACCAACCATTTTACTTCACTTTTCAGAACGCAGTGCAATCTATATGGCCTAAGAGACCACCTAAGAAAACATCCATCTTCAAGGATATTTGGTCAGTGAAATTATCAGCTGAGCCCCTCCACCACCGAGGAGAGCTTTTTCAGTGATGGCTCCTCAACACTGGAATGTTCTCTGTCTAAGGAGATTTTCTTGGTGCCTTCATTATTCTCTTATCAGCACCAGAAGCAGACTCTTTTTGCATCCAACTTTCTGAAAGTATGTTGTACTCTTTAAGCCACTGTGCCATTGTGTCTTGCTGTTATTCATATTCATTTTTATGGTATTTTAACATGCTAGGTTTGAAAATCCCTCTTCCACTTAAAAACACTCTTACCCTGTTTCCACTTTTTAATTTATCCCTTGTTAATAATTGTCGTTGAGGAGTACACAATAAATAAAATAAGAACCCACACCGTTTCTGTCTTTGAAATCAGCTACAGGTATGTTATTTAGATTATTTGTACCTACAGTTTAGAAAACTTCAAAACGTCACTTTCTTGACAACAGTTTTCAGATTCTGGAGGCTATTGCCCAGGAAATTAACATTCTTCATGAGTAACTGGGAGAAACTTAAAGTCCTTCTTTCCAGACATTTCATATGTCCATGGTTGTGTGTTACAATGGCAAATGGTGACATCTAATTTAATTGTATCCTACCTCTTGAAGAGTGGTCATATGACCAGATGAGTGGGATATAAACAAACAAACAAACAAATAAATAAATAAATAAATAAATAAATACAAATAAGTAATCTATTGCTTTTTTTAATAACAAAAAGAAGAAGATAAATATTGTAGCATCTTAAAGAAAACTGATTTATTTAATTATGAGCTTATGTGGCTTGCAATCCATGTCTTCAAATACATGGAGTGAAGTATTTAGCTGCAGGTTTATGTACAAGTATACATTGTGAGGGTGGGGATCCAGCAGATATAAATACAAGCACAGAAAATGAAATTTCAAGTTGACAATTGCAGTATAACAAGAGTAGTGAACTTTGAGAGTGTTGATTGTATAAAGTAGCTGGCTAGAGCTAGAATAATTAACTGTCTATCAGGTGAATGTAGTGCTTTCTCTGAAGTGCAAACGTGTTGATTCAGGAAATGGTTTGTCTTTTTCTGAATCAGTTACTGATTCTGAGCCACTGTAACTACTGTTTATAAAGAAAACTGCTTATTATTTTGGTCTTAAGCCTTCAGACACACTCTGGGATTTGTGGATATCATTGACCTCAGAGCCAGTATGGTGTAGTGGACAGACTGTCAGACTATGACTCAGAAGATCTGAGTTCAAATCCCTGATCAGCAACAAAAATTACCTGGTAGCAATGGTAATGCCACTCCTTAAATATCTTACCTACGTTGAAAATTCTACTGGGGTTGTCCTATGTCAGAGCAAGTTGATGGCTTATGACACACACAGCCTCAACTGAGTCACTCTCAAGTCTCCCTCTTTAAACAGTCATTTTACTATTTATAGTAGAATGTCCTGGGAAGCTAAAAAGTTCAAAAAATGGATTTTGCATGCTGCTGTTTTTTTTTGTCAGATTTGTTATATGTGTGATTTACTGATATCTGTGACTATTCCTTTTTATTCAACATCTGGCAATAAAAACAAGAATGTGCCATATAATTGCAACAGCATTTGAACTGTGTAGATGGTACTCTCATGATTTCTTCACAGCAATTGCAGATTTCCACCCCAAACAGAGCACTAACTGAGCATGACTAAAACAAAGATATGTGTAAGGTGGATCAATGTTGGTTGTTGTGGGTTTTTCGGGCTTCTTGGCCGTGTTCTGAAGATGGTTTTTCCTAATGTTTTGCCAGTCTCTGTGGCCGGCATCTTCAGAGGACAGCACTCTACAACAACTCTACCCAACCACAAGGTCAAGGGGATCACTACCATCAACCACAGTGACAGATAATCTCCTTATCACAACAATACACCCACAACAAAACACACTGATCACCCATTCACAGAAAACAATACACCCACAACAATACACACTTGTCATCCCATCTCACAGCCATAAATACTCCACGCCCTAGCCAAACTACACCAGAGCACAGTTGCTGTCCTCTGAAGATGCCGGCCAACTGGCGAAACGAAAGGTTAGGAAAAACCACCTTCAGAACATGGCCAAGAAGCCCGAAAAACCCACAACAACCATTAGATCCCAGCCGTGAAAGCCTTCGCGAATACATTGGATCAATGTTCTTTGCTTGGATGTTATCAAGCAAAAACAATTGTATTAGTGTAACAGACCATTTGGCACAAACATCAGGGTACCCTTCCACCTCTGGAAACATAAAGATATCCTTCCATCCTGTTTCACTGATCAATGTTTCAGGTAATACAGGGAATAGGTAAAGAAGAAATGTTGTTCCTACTTGTCCTCAAATTGCCTCTGACCTATGGACACTCTATCAAAGAATAACTTCTAACATTGCCTCCTCTGAATGGGATTAACAAAAGTTAGCTTAAGTGTTGCTCCTGGTCTCCATGAAAGATCTTCCACCAGTATCATCCTCGGCTACTGCTGCCACCTAGTCCTGGTCTCCATGAAAGATCTTCCACCAGTGTCATCCTCAGCTACTGCTGCCGCCTAGTAGTTTGTCTGCCCCCATCACCATTGGAACTATCCCTTCTCTTGTGCTACTGAGACTGTTACTTCTAAAGAGAGTGGATGCATCTTAGTCTGGGACCTCAGCTGGGACCATTCTGCCCTTGGTGACCAAACTAGGAGTCCAGTCTTGTAATGGCATCTGACCTCCTGGCAGCATTGCTCTCAGCTGCACACACACAGACCTCCTCACCAGTCTGTTAAGCTGTGCAGTCTAGAAGGGCCAAAGAAGAAATACTTGTTTCCAAACCAGAATCTTTATTCTGGTCATTGGTCTGTCTGTTAGGAAGCAGGCAATGTCTCTGCTAAGTAAAGACAATAAGGGGGGGGCAGGGCAAAAAAAATGCCCAATTTGTAGTCACAGATTTTCAGGCCTCCCTTGGCATTGGCACTTTTTGTGTTCTATTTAAAAAGTGAAACAAAATGCATAGAAATAGTGGAATGGCACTTTAAAAATTTTTATTGTTTTGTTATTTGTTAATTATTGATATGCTTAACTGTTGTTTTGTAATTCTTGTAATATGATATTCTGGCCATTACTATACCACCCAAAGAGTGCCTGTTCAGTATAGGGTAGTATTTTAAAACAGAATGAATGAATTTGGGATTATCTTGGGGAAACCATATTGCTGAGATAAATCCATTCAGGCTGACTCTGGGCGTTCATATCTGCACCTGCTCCTCTAGTGAGCCTGGCTTGCTACAGCCTTACTATGGCCAGGAAATGCCAAGGATCCTTGCTCCTCTCTCTGCCTGTGGTTCACAAAGAACATTAGCAAGGAAAGTATAATTCTCTCTCTCCTCTCTCTCTCTCTGCTTCTGTCCAGTTTCTACATTTTCCATACAAATACCCCTTTATCCAACCCTGATGCACCACTACACAGCTTTCTTCGGCTTGCTTCTGTCTTATTTCTCTCTAAGCTCCAAAGCTTCAGATGCCAGCCCTTGTTCTAGGAGGGCTTTCTTTATTGCCCCTTCCTAACTATGCTATATGGGCCTTCTGCTGCCCCAATTAGGATCTCTACATTTATGACTCATGTGATCTGCTTGTTTTTCTAGCCAGCTTTTACCAGACCAGGTTTCTTC